AGGCCGGGCGCCTGTTCAGATGGCGCAATTGCCAACTAAGCTTGAACGGTGCACCCCTGGAATCACTACGACAGCTTGAGGCCTCAGCGCCCAATCACACAGCACTCCCAATTTTGCTCGTAGACAAATTTCGTTGCAGGACGGCTCTATAATCCATGTTCTGCGCGGACGATTCAATCCAAAAATCCAGCTAGATTGGCGCGGAGCCCAGCAGCATGTCTGCAACGCCAGCTTTCAGCTGTTCGCCATGTATCTTTTGCACGATCGCGTAGGCTGTCCAGCGAAAACGTCTTCCTGAGTGATTCTGAGAACGACGAGCTCTACATGCAAAGTGACCGGCTCGGGCGAGAACTAGCGTGAGACTCAAATTGTCAAATTAGAACTGCGTGACCGGCCGCGCCCCCTGCCAAGCTCGACGAGAAGACATACTTTCGGAAGCCAGAGCACGAAGAATCAACATCCTCCTTGCATCCAGGCATCGGCTTTCGCCAACAGTTTGTGCAGAAACAGTGTGCAGCGCACAGATCGACTGTCAGGCGTCTTCGGTCCAAAAGAAAGGCGAGTTGCGTCGTCTGAATAGTTGCTTCATACCTATCCACCTCAAGCGCAGGCTGCGCTAGAAATGAGCGAGGACGACATGCCTCTGAGCAAACTATTCCCGACGTCAGCCACTCTCAGCTTGAGATGACATGCAAGAAAACATGTCTTTGGGATGCACATGTGCCTCACAATCGAGAGCCCAGCGCCACCTATTAGGAGGGCCCCCGGAGCCCTATTGCGGGAAATACAGCCTAAAGCCCTATTATGAAAAAACCCAGCAGTCCAGAGCCCAGCTCCACCTATTATAAGGAGTGCAGCAGCACGAGCCCAATTGGATTCCGCTTGTTGTGAGAGAATCCAATACGGAAGCAAGTTCGACCTCCCTCGTGAGGAAATGCAGCATCCCAGAGCCCAGTTCGACTTATTATGAGGAGCAAGCAGTCCGAAGCCCAGTTCATATGAGGTAATCAGCAGCCTGGAGTCCAGTAAAGCAACCCGAAACCCAGTTGGACTTATCATGAAGAAATCCAGCAGTCCAGAACCCGAATGCTTGGGCGGAGCGCATTCAGCTGTGGCAAGTGTTTCTTTAAAACTGGCATGAATGCTGTTTCATGGATTTGTGCCGTCAGCTCGCGATCAAGCATATCCCGCGCCAGCCCTCTCTTAAACTCGGCGGGCTGATGGATCTCTCGCGCTCAAGCTTTGACACACACGCAACGCTGACTGTGGCATGCCCGCCACAATGTGCGCTAAAATGGCACATTGTGGCGGGAATGATGGAGCATTATGACTCCCGACCCAAGTCCCTGCTCGAGGTGAAGAAAGCCACTGGAAGATCGGGGGGCCTCACGCCCGAGGAGCGTGTGGAGCTTGGCCAGCACCCTCTGCGACTCATTGCTGTGAGCCTCGCAGATCGCATCGCGGCAGACGTCCATTGCTTGTCTGTTGATGGACGTAGACGTGGACCCCGAGAAGCACTCCAAGCGGTCGTGGGGGAAACGAACGTGCACATCTCCACAATTGCTCAAGACCAGCTGATCAACGCTTTTGCCAAAATGAGACGCCGAGCCATGAGACGCCGAGCCAAGCAGCAGCAAAAGCTGCGGCAGAACTAGTAGCGACTCAGCTGCTCGCTTTTTTCACCCTTGCCATTGCAACTGGAAGGCGCGCTTCCTGCAGACGCATTTAAAACTTCGCGCAGAGCACACATGACAGATTGCAAGCCCGTGGCCCAATCATTGGCCCTTTGTTCAGACACATGTCCTTGACTTTAGCCTGCAAGATAAGTTCCGCCCTTGTTCTCAGGGCGTATGAGGCGAAAATGCCCGCATACAGCAGAGGCGAAAGCAGAAACATCAATGCACGCTTGCTCCTTGCAGTCGCATGACATGATGAACATCGACCACCTCTACCAGGAAGCCCTTTCAGCTCAAAACCCAGAAGCCATACTTCATCACGCGCCTCGCTGAAGCGATGGCTGCCATTAGCTTCCTGAAGTGGACATTCGCCTATGAGCACTTTGCAGGCAGGACATTAGACTAAGAAATGAAGTTACGCCCTGGCTGCTGAAGCACTCCGCGCCAACAGGATCTGGTGAGAGCCGCAGCCCCGCGTCCATCGCAACATCGTGTCGTAACAAAATCTAGTTGGATTCAATCAACGCCCTGTGCATGAGGCCCACAACGAAGAAGTGAAATGCTTCACCTGTGTGCTATCATTGCTCCAAGGACTTCGCTGAGGCCTGGATTTGGATGTTTAGCGTTCACTCAGAGCACAGCACCCCAGAAATTTACACTTACGTACTATCATTCACTCAGAGCACAGCACTCCATCCGTATATGCCGCACGAGAGGCGTGTTGTTTTCAAGACGTCCGCCCACAAGCTGACTGATTTGCACGGCAGCTGGGTGATCAGACAAGTCGCTGGCTTCACAGTCCTTGAAGTGAGCTTCAACTGCCGTGGCCGTCGTGGACGCAACGTGTGGTTGGCGTTGACGGCAGGCTCGGGCCATATATTGTTTCTGGATCATCACGTCTGGGCGAGTCCTGCTGACTGCCCTCAGGACCCGAAGGTGTATTCTTCGGTCCGCATCGCAATGGATGGGACTATGTCAAGATGACAAGCATCTCCATTGAATGGCTTAGCATCCCCACTACTGTTGCTCTCGAGTGGGCATGATTTTTTGTATAGACAGAAATCGCTCAATGTAGCGAAGCCGGACAACATTCATTGGCAGCAGTAAAAACAGCCGAGACACTTCAGAAGCCTCGACGCTAAAGGCTTCATCTCACGCACCCCATTCGATGCTCAAACGGAGCAGGAGCTGTAGAACAGAACAACAGAACAAAGCGCCTAGGACCCTCTCGAGCTGCCGCCAGCAGTGGCAGCGCACTACGACCGCGAATTCTATCAGACAGTGGTATCAAGTTTCATGGCAGCAGCACGCAAAATCCCATCGAGCTTCGCGATTCAGCAACCAGTAAACCGCGAGTTCGCACCTGCGGAGACCGCCGGGAACATTCGAGAACTGTCGCGCCACATGCACCTCAATGAGTCAGATGCCCAGTGGCTGATATTCCTGGCAACTCAAATTCAGGCAAAGGTCGGGCCTTGGTCGCTGTCTCAGTTTTGGAAACTGAAGCAAGACATCGTCGCTGCAGAAGAAAGACACAGAAGACCTCGAGAACCATCGCCTTTCAGCCTGCCGCCGGCCGCCGTACAGATCCCAGAGGCAGAAAGCCAAACGAGTCGCTCGTCAACATCAACAAAAAGATCGAGATCTACCAGTCCATGATCGGTCGGGCCAGAGCCTCAACCAAAAAGCTCATGTATATAGGAACGATAACAATGCAGGTCTTCCGTCGAGAAACGCTACCCAGCCTCTGAAACAACCAAGCTTCTGGAAATACTTCAGCAACCATCGAACTAACCAAGGACATTCAAAAGACAACTCCAGCAAGACTGGGAAAGCGCTGACGTGCCGAACTGTCCGAGACCCTTTACTTCGGCGCAGAAAACAAAGAAGTAAGTGTACCATATACTGTTCATGCGACATCACAGGGTCCAACCGTCGGCCCAAGAACGCACAATGCAAGACAGCAGAATAAACACTGAAGATTTGCAACTTCGCTCGCAGCGACGGCTCCGCAGATAGGAAGAGACCTCTCCAAAACCCAGTCACGGTCTGGACGAGCATCGCAGCCATGTCGCTCTCGCAGACCACGATCGCGCAGAAGAGAAAGCGCTTCAGCGCAAGCAACATCACCCCTTCCAAGGTGAGCCGCACCACGGACCCCAACAACGACACGGACAGCTCGGAAATCATCGTGGTGGTAAGGAACTGGGGCAGCGCCTTCAACGTCTTCGAGGGCCTGACTCGAGACGATCCGCTCTGGCAGCTTCAGGTCATCCACGGCGGGCGCAATGCTTTCGGATATCAGGTGCTGGCAGTGGCCAGAGAAGCGCTGCTAAAGCACCCCAACAACAACATCCGAGACCTCCAGCAGCTGGAATCGGTCCTGCACGTACGCCTCCTGAACGGAGCACCTCCCCACACCGGCGCACTGGACCCAGATGGCACCGGCATCGAAGCGTGGCAAGTCGTGTTGTACGCGGGCTCCGTGACCAACGCCCTGGACTTCATCCATCTCGTGCTGAAACACAAGGTGGCCAAAGGACAGCTGCTGCAGCTGCCCAACATGACCGTCGCAAGCCCAGACGGAAGCGTCGAGTCCGTGCCAGAACCATGGACACTGAACACCAATCCTCCGCATTGCCCCAAAGCCTTCGCAGTCCTTCCACCCCGTGGACGCCGTCACGTACTCTGTCAAGTGGAATTCTCCGGATCCAGAACCAAAACAACGAGCAGCCAAGATTCAAAGGAAGAGCCGGAGCCGATCACCGAAGGGGAAGACAAGAACGACGCCAGCTCACTCTACACCTTCAGCTTCTTCGGCGGCATCTACTCCTACCGCGAACTGTTCGACGCGGCCAACGTCGAAGGCGGCTACAACGTGGGACCCGAAGGCAATCGAGATTACGTGCGTACCCTGGAGGTGCTCAACAATCAAGAAGGAAAAGACAGGCTGATGTCTCTGCACGAGCAAGTCTTGTTGAACGTGCCCATCTACCTGGTAGATGCCACCGAGAATCCCGACGACGAGTTCGTCGCCTGGTTCGCAAGCCTGCCCCACGTAGAGCTCGGAGAGAGAGCCAAGTCGTGAGCTGCAAAAAATGTTCACAAATCAAGAGAGAGGCGCGGCAAAATGCACAGGCCCGCGCCCCGCCGTGAGCTGCAGAAGACGCTCACACATCAAGAGAGGCGTGGCAACATGCACAGGCCCACGCCCCGCCTGCATTTGTAAAAGTACGTCCCGAGTATACTTTACAAACGCCCCCGACACGCGAAAGAAAGAAGCATCATGCAAGAAGCACAGGCTGCTTGTCAGAATGCCCTCGCATGTCTCACACTCTCGCAGCAACGGCGCATGCTACACCCGCAGCTCATTGGCTTACTTGCTTGTCGAGACCGCCGCCCCACACCGCGCCTGTGATCATCGAAGACATGTCGGCGACCCGCAGCACTGGCTTCGGTCCGACGCCTGCAACAAACAGCATTATCGACGCTTTCAAGAAAGCTCCGCAAAAAGAGCTCACATCTGGATCGTTCACAGAGAACACGGCCGCAGCCAGCAACAAGAACGATCGCAACAAGGTCGTCTCCTTACTTAGACCCTCTTGCGTACATCACCTTCTACAGCACCAAGCCTGCCAGGACTGTCCTGCACGCGCGGCAACCACTGCATCCACGACAGTGCCGGCAGCGAGCACGAGAAGCAACGAGGCAACGCCGAAGGCAGCAGCTTCTACGTTGAAACCGTGGTCTGTGCCCAAAAAAACAAACTAAGAAAGAAAGCCGATTCAGCTTGCAGGCCGGGCCAGCAGCTTTTGTTTGATCACAAATACAGGCCGAAGAAAAGTCGACCGAAGTTCCGTCGACTCCACGCGAGGATCTTCGACGAGAACCGCCAAGCAACAACGACCACGCCATGCCACAGGCAGAGTTCGGAAACATGCAACCAACTGGAGATAGGCCATCGTCCCAACAGCACCTCCTCTCACAAACGCTCGAAGGTCGAAGAAGACACATCAGAGGGCGGCTTGGCATTATCGGAATCGCCTGCGGATGCAAAGGCCAGGAAGTTTCGCTTCGCGTTTGCCCACCTGTTGGACACCTGGAATTACCACGCGCAGGCTCCGGAAAAGAAAGCTTCCATCGAGAAGAAGCATGAAGGAACAGAAGATCAGGCCACGCAAACGAAAGCAACCAGCTAGAGTTAGGGCGTCATTTCAACAGCACCTCCCTCACAAACACTCGAAGGTCGAAGGAGAGACATCAGAAGCCCACTTGACCCTTGCAGAACCGCCTGCGGATGTGAAGGCCGGCAAGTTCCGCTGCATGTCTGCCAACCTGTCGCACCCGTGCACAGGCTCCGGAAACAAAAGCTTGCATCGAGAAGGAGCATCAAGGAACAGAAGATCAGGCCACAGAACCACCTGCAGATGTGAAGGCCGGGAAGTTCCGCTGCATGTCTGCCAACCTGTCGCGCCCGTGCGCAGGCTCCGGAAGCGAAAGCTTGCATCGAGAAGGAGCATCAAGGAACAGAAGATCAGGCCACACGAGAGGCCCCGATGCCTTGTTTGGGGGAGCGAATCATGGTCATCAAAGAGCCATGGTTGCAACTCATCCTCAACAAGCTGAAAACGATGGAAATTCGATGCAGTCCCGCCGAACCGGGAAAGACATGGCTGGCATTCGACGGCCAAGTGTTCGGAGCGGCATACATCTCTAACTGCGTCCAGATCACACGTGAGGAGTTTGAAGCCACCAGGGAGCAGCACCAACACTTGGGAGACATGCCCCCCCACGCAAAGGTCTACGCGCTCACGCTGCAGAACATCGTCCGACTGGAGTCGCCGGTCCCGCACTACCGGCCGCCAACGACAGCACCCTGGACGATCTTTCGCACCGAGCCAGCCGAGAAGGCAATCAGAGGGCCCAAAAGGAAGAGAGCCCTCCAGGCCTCACAAGAAGGGACTGCAGTCCTGCCGATTCTGGGCATGACCCTCCGCGAGACCCCGTCAGAACAAGAAGCAGGAAGTCCGACCTGCTCCGTCATCTCAACGCCAGACAAAGATGACGAGAAAGACGAGCCCACGGCCAAAAAGCAAGATGCGAAGGACAAAGACAAGGAGAACGAGTCCTGAAAAGGCGTGAGGGCAATGCTTTCACGCTCCTGACCACGAAAAACTGAAAGAGCCCAAAACACGGACCAGTTTCAAACCAACCAGAACATGCATGTCGCGAGAAAAACAATCCGAATCGGCACTGCTGCAAGCAGCCAACGGTTGCACGTTTTTTCCGAAAGCCATTCTCATGGGCCGCATGGTACCAGACGCAGAGAAGCCACTGGCTCAAGCCAAGCTCGCAAAAAGTTTCCAAGCACCATGCGCCGATCCATCAAGTCGATCCGCGATGCAGAAAGCACAGGCGCCGAAATACTGACATTCTCGCACGCAACGCATGCTCTTCCTGTGCTCACTGAGGTCAGGAGGACAACATACGCGAGGCATACCAAGCCTTCGGCGATACTACGCACGCCTTAAAGATTCGACCAAAATGGCTGCGAGAGATACTCTCAGGCACCAGGAGTTTTTCCCCTGCACTCATGTTTCCATGCTAATTCCGAAACTGCTACAAGTACCCACAGGAACCAAAACCGTGGAACTGCGACCAATGCGCTGTCCGATGAGCCTGCTCATGACGAAGATCAGCTTGATGGAAACAGGCACCAAGCTCATCCGAGGGACAGCATTGATAGGCAGCTCGCGTCATCTCACAAAAGACGAAAAGAACCGGTTCTCCAACATCTTGCAGGCCAGGAGCTTGTTGCGGACATGTGCGAAATAACATGGGGTTTGGGAATCTTGGCTGTTCAGGAGCTCAACTACAACCCCAACAAGACCTACGCATGGACCTTGCAGGAGGTGCAAGAACACTCCCATCCCTTCCAGGCACGCCCTGTCAAGCAAAGGCAAAACCAAACTACCCGGTCCTGACCCAACACACAGGTGCCGAGCCAAGCAGCGCGAGGATCAGTGGTCTGGCTACGACGTGAGCATTGGGCAGAAATGACAGACCGGCAACTCCAGGTGTCAAGAAGCCGGAGAAAACGCAAACATGGCGAAGCGACTCCGTTGTAGACAAGCTTGACGGCAAAAAAACCGAAAAAGGGAAGCGCCGTACAATGCTCTTTGAAGGATCATCTGCTGCGCCTTCGATATACTAGAATTTCATACGGCAGAGAAAGGTTTAGAAACCTCAAAACGACACACAGATAGGTCCCCGAATTCTGCAGCCATTTTCTGTTTCCTCAAGCAAACACAAGCACGTGCCCCCGGGCTCCCAGGATCCGCCGCCAGAACATGGCGCAACATTTGCCGAAGAGCCCGACGGCCACACCGAGCCGCCAAAGCCCAAGAGGAGTGGAGCCACCAGTCAAAATCGGATCAGTCGTTGTGTCACTGCCCTCTGGCCGAAGCACAGACATAGAGGTGTACCATGGCACAACAGTACGAGCATTGGCCATGACAGCTTGGCGCCGACTAACCACAGTCCCTACCTTGTGCCCAGCCGAAGGGCATTTCACGGTGGCAGATTTCGAACTCATGGGCAGAAGCCAGCCGAATCTCGCCCTCGTGAGCAGCGACGGTGAACGCTTACATCTCGACAGCGCCTTCTGGAACTTCGTCCGACCAGAAATGACACTCACCTTGGCTTGGAACTCAGCACAATCGGAGCCGCCAAACCCTCTCTAAGAGTCCCCAAAACAGCCCAACCGCCACTAAGGTGCAAACATCACGCCAGACGGCGCCAGAAGCGAGCGAGAAAACAAATTCGACGACCGCAGAAGGGGACTAGCCTTTTTCCTTAGCCTGAAGACTTACTTCTGCTGCAGAGCTCAAAAGCAGAAGTGCTGCATTCCAGAGCACCCGGGCATTTGAGAGCACGGCGTGTCATGTTCCTCAACAACTGGCCAGGTCAACAGCATCTCCGCAGCAAGTTGGCTCCAAATTGAACAACGTGCGCATCCATATGCTGCCCTAGCAGCGCCAAGACATGGCAAGATCTCAGTTGCCCGCCAACGTTTGGATGAACGTGCTCGATTTCGCAGGCGCACAGCACACCATGATCGTGACGGAGGACCCGGACCTACCCCAGGACCCGGAAGACTGGCCCAGAGCCCTCGGAATATGCAAAGAACTCCAAGAGTCGAATATCGTCGAGGACTGCATTTCAAAAGTGCTGATCTGCGAAGATTGCGGAATCCAACACAGGATCGTCGTCCTGACAGCCAACAGATGGAACTTGACCAGCTCGCGAGCTTTGATGGCAGTCAACCGCAGCACAGCTAGCGGCTTTCATCATCAGGTCGCGCCCAACAGCAGCAACGCGCACCCCAACCTCAGCTGCTGGATCAAGATACACCGCGTCGGTCAGGATTATGTGCAGCTCGAGATGCCGGTCCAGAAGTTTCACACGCTGAAGTGGTCGTGGATTCTTCCAGGAACCATTCCCTGCACCTCGCCTCCTCCAAGCATCCGATTCGTTTCGCTCTTGAAGGACTACACCATCACCAAGCAAATTCGGCAGCACAAGCTCTGATTTCCTGGCACCCTCAAACAGCAACGGTGAGCATGACTGACAAGAGTTGTGCACTTGCGACGAGATCATGGTGTGAACTAGCGAGAAAAGCCAAGGAACTGCCGGTAAAAGCTGACTGCCGCACGAAAAAGAAGACTGCGCCCTCGTGCAGAGACTGCATGATCATTTCACCCATGAGCAACGTTGTCACTGCATAGTTGCACATTTTTACCAGTCGCAACATCCCAAAGCAGAGGGCTCAAGAAGTCTCATCTTAGACAAGCCTGCGGCCGACAATACTGCGCGGCACGCCGAGACCCGAATGCGGGGAACCTACAGGCTACGAGATCACATCACAAGCAGCATCAGTCCCGATCGAGTTCAGCGCCGGTCTAGAAGCCCTGCGAGAGACCACGGTCCGGCAGAAGTTCCCTCCGTGACAGAAGTACGTGAACTCCAACAGCAAGTTCGGCATCTCACAACCCGCGTTCAAGCCTTGCAAGAAGCAGTGACCTTACTCAAGACGGCCTTGTGTCAATCAGCCGAGTCAGCCTAATTCATGCACGTACAACACCTTCACGCGAAAGGCGTGACAATCAACTCGAAAAAGTAGCTCTCAGCCGGCAAAACCTGCGCCCAACTGCTGCCAAAACGAAACGCATGTGGAGCCAAACGTTGCAGCGAGTAGACATCTACGACCCTCGTCAGTGCAAAACTGCGAATCAAACCAGCGTGTGGCCGCAACGCGGGCTCAAGCCGGAACCAACAACCAAGCACGCATCAGTGAACAAGCATAGAGTAGCGGCAGCTCCCATGTCGACCATCGACTACTCCAAGTGGGAGAAACTCCAGGAAGGCAGTGACGAAGAGGTGTTCCAGCAACCCCTACCTCCGAGCTCACCACGACAGCCCATCAAGGTCGGACCGTTCGCAGTGGCCACTTCTCGCCTTCCAGACGATCCTGCAGCACGCCGCGAAGTTCTTCGTGAACAAAAGGAGCTTCGCGATTTCGTGCGGTTGCATCCCTGTCCCGCAGAAGCAGACCTCCACGCATGGCTTCGCAGGATGCATGAGCACTCCAAGAAGCCACAAGTGAAACACGGCACATTTGCCTGGGTCATGCGAAACATGGAATGGGACTCGCAACACCTTGCGTGGTTCCACTACCCCTCCTTTCGCGTTCTGTGGGAGTCCGCCACTTTGGCACCGAGCACTGCCTTCGTCGGCCAACGCAGCGCTGGCATTACGTTGTACGAGCGCGGGGGCAAACCCTGCATGCAGTTCAACTTCTACGCCCTGCATCACGCCATGGCCGGTGAGGACTTTCACGCGAACGCACCCTTCCCAGTCTACACCTTCGCAGGCGACATTGAAAAGGTCTGGGACGGCATCGGATCGTGGTGGGCATAAAGGACCACAAGAAACAGAACAAGAAGCGCAGAAAAGCAAGAAACGGGCACGCTGCAAGTGCGCGAGCTGTCCGCCCGCGGCCTAAGAAGCACCGCAGCCACCATTTGCATGCGAAGCAAGGTCAGTGCATTTCCGGAGCATATCGGCTCGAGCAGTGTAACTACGTGAGCGGTCAGTGGCAAGCAACGCGCCGGAAGCTCAGACACGCTTGCGCGACGAAGAATGCGAGAGCATCATGACGCGATGTGCGGCAATATGAGTCAGATGCGTGCCTAGCGGTCTATAGCTTCAGATTACCATCTCGAATTCGGCCGTGCAGATCACAGCACCTAGTTGCCCAGGACTCCTTTCGCGAGCTGTTCAACTCGGCCAACGTCGAGGAGGCTGCATTGTGGAACCCCAAAGAAATAGAGACTCCGCGCGTACCGTGGAAATGTGCAGCAACTAAGGAAGGATACGAGAATCTGAGGTCCCTGCACGAACAAATATTGCTGAACGTTCACAGCTATCTGGCGGACGCCGCCGAGAACTTCCACGACGAGTTCGTCGCCTGGTTCACCAGCCGGTCTGACATGTAGCTGTACCAAGTAAAGCACAGCAAAATGAACAGGATAGCGCCCCGCTTGCAGTTTTAAGTACTTGCCGACGACAGAAGCGCCAGCTCAACCAGAATGCGAGAGAAAAGACTCCAAGATGCAACTGCGTGTCAGAAGTGTCCGGACACGTGCAGACACTCACGGAACAGCGTGCAAAGACGAGCCTGCAGCGCGTTTGCTCATTGAAAAGCGCGTCCACTCAAACCGCTCCTGCGACCATCCGAGACATGTCGGCGACAGGCACCAGGCCTTTTGGACCGACTCCTGCGACCAACAGCATCATCGACGCTTTGAAGAAAGCTCCACAGCAGCATGACGGAGCCGGTAAGGTCACGGTGCCAGCGGTCAGCGACGGCCAGGCCATCAGCTGAAGCCAGAACCCGGTAGTTCACCTGCTGCACAGCCGCTGCCGCCCCTGTCAGGACAATTCCGCACAAGCGGTAACCGCTACATCCACAAAGGCATCGACTACAAGCGCGACAAGCAAACAGGCTTTCAACAAATCCACTATTAGGTACAAAGGCGTAAAATCCAGGATAAAGAAATGCAGAGCATAAAGGTTTAAGCTGTTCCCATAGATTCTATTCAACACTCGCAGGCCGAAGAGAAAGAAGAAGCAATCAAAGTTCCATCGGGTTCACGCGATGATTCTCGGGCGGCCAAATCAAAAAGCCATCGCGCCTTACCAGAGGATCCGGGTTACCAAAAACACAGAATTACATGCTAACAGGCCGGAGTTGATGCACAAGACTGTCCTTTTCCTACTCCATCACAGACAAGTCGGAAAGGATGCGTTGGATGCCGACCTAGAACTGATGGAGAAGCTCCTGTCAGAGTCATCGACGGATGCAAAGGACGGGAGATTCCGATTTTTCTTTTGACCTGCCAAACACCGCGACCCTTGCCCAGGCTGCTGTCGACGAAGAGCATCCAGAACCGGGAGAACGGAACACGACGCAGACGTGCATGCCACGTCCAGGAGAACGAATCATGGTCCTCAAAGAACCATGGATGCTGCTCATCCTCAACAAGCTTAAAACAATGGAAATTCGACGCGCTGCCGCCGAGCCTGGAAAGACATGGCTGGCATGCGAGGGTCGAGTGTACGGCGCGGCCAAAATCTCCAGCTGCGTCCAAATCACACACGAAGAGTTCGAAGCCACCAGAGCGCAGCACCAACACCTGGGAAACATGCCGCCCTACACCAAAATATACGCGCTCAAGCTTCAAAACATCATCCGACTGGACGCGCCGGTGCCATACTACCGACTGCCCGCAACAGCGCCGTGGATGGTTTTTCGAGCAGGACCTGGCGAGAAGAGAATCAGAGGCTCCAAGAGAAAGAGAGCTCTCCCAGAAGAAGATGCAACCCTGCAGATCCAAGACACCCTCTTCGATGGCGCAACTTCGGGAACGCAAATAGCAAGTCCGGCTCGCAAGGATGACGAGGCAAATAGATGAGACAACGACCTACAAACAAGATGCCAAAGAGACAGACCGGGAACAAGCACACTGAAAGGAGTGGGAGCGAACGAGGCTTCGACCAAGCTTTCTCACGCCTGACTCCGCCTGGCTGTGCCCAGGCGCAGCAGGAAATCAGTCCCGGAGCTTTGTTTCAAGCGTGACAACAAGCACGCGCAGCTGAAAAGAAGGTGCGGTGTCCACCGAATTCGCATCACTTGCCACGACTGCCGCGAGCCGATAGGCTCGAAGCAAAGCGCGCAAGCAATAGCAAGAAAACCCGCCGCCGCCATGGACATTGCTTCAGGAAGACGAGCTTGGGCAGACATAGAGGCGGCCTTGCACAGTTCTGGCGCACGCGTGAAAAGATGCAATTCCGCTTGCAGGACACGGGCGACTCCGAGGAGAGACAACTTCCAGCAAAATCACAAGTGTAGCAGACCTGCCAAGTGCTCACCAAGCGGTGCGTCGGCCACAACATGCGCAGGAAGGGCCATCCAGATCGCCAACGCGACAGGGAAACACAGGCAGCACTTTGTCAAACTCCGTAATGCGCTGCAAGTCTTTTCGTTTCTCTTACTTCGAGCAACCGCTTCCTGCCTCTCCAACAGTATTATGGTGCCCAAGCACGCCCAGGTGCAACAGGCACTACGTCAAGGAAGACCAAGAGCCGCAAGAAAAACAAGAAGAAGCCGCCTGACCTTCCCAGCGCAGAAACAGAGAATCAGACCAAAGCACTGCTGGAGAATTCCATGCTTGCAGCCTGCGCCACAAGACTGGAGCTCAGTTGATGTACCAAAAAAAAGCGCATGTGGCGCAAGTTATGATCAAGAGGTACAGAGGAACCATACCAAAGCTGAGGCGACATTCGCCTACACCTGGAACTGCAAGATTTCGTGCAGTCTGCAATGTCTCACAGCTATCAGCCCATTTTCCTACGCAACTGGCAAGCGAGTCTGCAACGGCGCTGTCTTCTGCATCGCATGCCATGTCAGTTGTGGCACGACTTCGTCTACAATTGGCAGCCACCAGAAACAGAACAACAAGCAACCATGCACGACAGGGCATACCAACACGCACAAAGCATGAATTGCGATTTGCAGGTCTCTGGGGGTTCGGCACCAACTGCCCGTGTGCTGGAGCTGCCTTTTCAAGCCCAGACACCCTCAACTTTGATATTGTTCGTAGCAAATGGGCCAGCGCAGTGCTCGGCACAACCGTTGAAGCAAACATACAGAGTTTAATCCCGAGGTAGCCGACCAAAGAAGTGCGCAGCGCAAGAAAAAGAGCACCCAAACAGGCTTCCACTGCAAGCGTCGTCAGCCAATTCTCTCTCACAAATGTACACACGCAGCCCTGACCTATCGAACGAAAGCAGAATAGCTCTAGCAGATTCTAGCAGCGCCCGCCATGACAACATTGCTAGCCTGTCTTGGCACATACCACCTCAGCACGCTCATCCGAGACATGCTGCAAGGAGACGAAGCGCTGCTCTTGTTGCAGCTCACAAACTTTCCGGAGATGAAGCAAATCGACTGGGCGCGCCAACTGCGAAAGGCCACGGCCGAGATTCGCGACGTCATGCACCCTCTCAAAACCATCCAGCTACGATTCCCAGGCTTATGCCTTCCAGCGACCATCAGATGCAGCAAACTGGGAGACCGATCAGACCCAATAATGAGCCATGGCTACGCCGACAAACTCATGCGTTGGTTGCAGGACAACGCTTTCTCGGGCCTCACTCCCAGCGAAGCGGTCCGGGTGATGAACGCCTGGGAAGAGAGCCGAAAAGACGCTGGAGCCAGACTGAGCGACTTCCTCCATCAAGCAAAAGCTAAATTCTACTACTCGTGCGGAAGCAACGAGAACTGGCCTTGGAAGCTAGAATATAAAATAATTGTATGTTTCGAGTACCAAAGCATCACAGGAATCATTGAACTGCAGCAAGAAGAGATACGATAACATGATGAACAATTGTGTTCTTGTATGACACCAGAAGACGGAATATCGTTTCACCAGCCAGTCGTGACAGCAAGGAACAGACACAAAAGAAGGAGCCCTCGCGCACAGAGTGACATGCAAAAGATCGATCGGCAACACTGTCCCATTACCACAAACGGCACCGCGCCAGCCACGCAAGGCCAAGCGAGAGAAGTTTTGCACCATCGGCACCTGCGCCATGGCCACGCTGCTTACCTGTCTTCGCACAGACTGCTACAGCACATTCATTCGCAACATGCTGGAGACCGAGGACGCCCTGCCGCTGCTGCAGCTGGCCAAGTCCCCGGAGCTGAAGCAAGTCCGATGGGCATGCCGCCTGCGAGAAGCCACAGCCAGAATTCGCCGCGTCATGGACCCTCTCAAGACCACCCAGCTGCGATTCCCCGGCTTCGCGCGTGCTGTGACTATTAGCTGCAGAAAGGCCGCGAAGACATCCGACGCAGCGACAAGCATCCAAAACTACCTAAACCTTCTGGCTTGGATGGAAGCAAACGACTTCGCTGGCTACACGCCCAGCGAAACGGTGCTGATGCTGAACGCCTGGCCCAAAAGCACCAGAGACACAGGGGCAGAACTCAGCGACTTCCTCGAAGAAACAAACACTGCGTTCTACTTCATGACCAACTTCCAGGAGCCCGGAAAGTTCAGAGCGAACATGTGCACAAAGACTTGGTGTTTTTTCACGTACGACGGTCTTGCAGGTGTCCTGGAAACGCAGGACACAACACCTTGACCCGTCGAGCCAGAAAAAATCGACCAAATAAGACATGATGAACAGAAGACCGGAGACCGCGAAGACAAAGGACAGGAGGACCCAAACAGATTTCCACCTCAAGCGTCATCCGCCAAGATCTCTCACGCAGTCTCCCTCTCTCTCTCTTCTCTTTGTCTCTCCCTCTCTCCCTCTCTCCCTCCCTCTCTCTCTCTCTCTCTCTCTCTCCCTCCCTCTCTCTCTCTCTATCTCTACCTCTCGACCAATGTACACTAGCAGCCACGACCTATCGAGCGGAAGCAGACTTGCTCTAGCAGATTCGAGCAGCGCCCGCCATGACGACATTGCTAGCCTGCCTTCGGACGGACCACTACAGCACGCTCATCCGAGAAATGCTGCAAGCAGACGAAGCACTGCTCTTGCTCCAGCTCGCAAACTTGCCGGAGCTGGTTCAGATCAAATGGGCACACCGGCTGCAAAAGGCCACTGCGAGGATTCGCAGCGTCATGGACCCTCTCAGAGACATCCAGCTGCGATTCCCGGGCTTCTTCTGTCCAATGACCATCAGATGCAGAAAGCGCGGACACCGATCAGACCCGATAGTGAGCCAGGACAATGCCGAAGACCTTCTGCGTTGGTTGAAGAGCAACGATCTCGCGGCCTTCACTCCCGGCGAAGCGGTCCTGGTCATGAACGCCTGGGAAAAGAGCCGAAGAAGCGCTGGAGCCAAATTGAGCGACTTCCTCCAAGAAGCAAACGCCGAGTTCTACTACTCGTACAGATTCACCGGAAACTGCCCTTGGAAGATACGAGCAAGAGTAATTGTGTGTTTCGAGCACCAAAATCTCGTCGGCTTCATTGAACTGCATGAAAAAGAATAAGAAAAAACAATTGTCTCTGTATGGCAGCGTCGTCTCACACCAGCCGGCCGTACGAGTAGGGCAGGGGACACGCAGGAAAGCAGCCCTCACGCAGTTCGAGCAACAACGAAAAGCGGTGCTGGAGGAACATCAGCAAGCTTGTCTTGTGGCCACGCAACTGTACCGCCAGCCACGTGACATCAAGCGGGTGAAGTTTTTGCCTCACCATGGCCACGCTGCTTACCTGTCTTCGCACAGACTGCTACAGCACATTCATTCGCAACATGCTGGAGACCGAGGACGCCCTGCCGCTGCTGCAGCTGGCCAAGTCCCCGGAGCTGAAGCAAGTCCGATGGGCATGCCGCCTGCGAGAAGCCACAGCCAGAATTCGCCGCGTCATGGACCCCCTCAAGACCACCCAGCTGCGATTCCCAGGCTTTGTGCGCGCCGTGACCATCAACTGCAAACGCAGAAAAGGATGGAAGGCATCCCGCCCAGTGATAACCATGGAAAACGTCCAAAACCTGATGGGTTGGATGGACGACAACGACTTCGCCGGCTACACGCCCAGCGAAACAGTACTGGTGATGAACGCCTGGCCCAAAAGCACCAGAAACACGGGGGCAGAACTTAGCGATTTCCTCCAAGAAGCAAACGCTGCTTTCTACTACATGATCAATTTCGAGGAATCGCCGCCCAGCAACCGTAGAGCAGCCAGGTACATAAAGACAGTTGTGTTTTTCCAGTACAAAGGTCTTGCAGGTGTCCTGGAAATGCAGGATGCAGCGCCCTGACCAGTCCACCGCCGGAAAGAACATCTCTGATGACGACAACATGCACGAGCATTTCGTGCCGCTCACACACTGCATCAAATATCGCTGCAAGCGTTTCGGCTCGAACCAAGCAAGTGTTGGAAGCACGAGACACAATGAGGCATGCTACACTTCCGAAAGATCAATGGCGAACTAGTTTGCAGTTGTGCCGCCGACGCCTGCAAACCAACTGCCGACGACGGGAGCGTCTTGGAGGCTTTCCGCAAGTACCTGCACGAACATGAAGGCGCCCCGCGCTACAGAGCCCAGTTCATCATCGGCAACAAGATCACAGACGACAAGCAACCGTGGAACAACCTGAGCACGCTGATCGCAAATCACGGAAGCATCGACGTCCAGATGGTGGTGCCGGACTTCTTGCCAGGAGGCGAGACGGGCTTCAAGCGCGCCATAAAGCAAGGCAACTTGAAAAGAATCGAAGGCATGCTGGAAAGCTTCGCAGACCCCAACATGCGCATGGACAAGGAGCGAGAATTCCACTCGCAGCCGCTGCAGGTGGCGGTCAGCTTACGCGAGCACGACATCACAAAGGCACTGCTACGGGCCGAAGCGAACATAAACAACCTGACCGACGACCCGCCCCTGAACATTGCCTGCCGCAACCATGACCTCAGGACGATGCAGCTGCTGCTGCGGTCCGCAGCCGATCCCAACTGCAGAAACAAGCTGGGCGACACTCCCTTGCATGCCTGCATCTTCCACGGCTCAGCCTCCACGACAGCCCTCCTTCTTCGGTTTCGCGCAAGCATGGCAGCGGAATGCCGTCCCAAAGGGATGACGCCTCTTGGGCTGGCCGTTCAGTGGGGTCTGGCCGATGCCACGAAGTTGCTACTGACAGGCCAGGCCATGCTGCAGGAGAACAGAGCATCCCATAGCGCTCTGCACGTTGCCGCCGAGCACGGAAACATTCCGTTCATGCGAATGCTGGTACATGCCAGAGCAGACCCCAACGCCACCAATCGTCACGGAGAGATGCCTTCGGACCTCCTGCCCAAGCACACAACTTTTCGAGAACGCTTTGTCTGCAGACGAATTTTGTCTGAGAGAACAGCCGTAGTGCCTCAGTCTCACCTTCCATGCGCACACACGGCGCAGGACTTGGAGTTCAAGAGCTTTGCAGACTGAAAAGCGCTCTGCGCAACTGAGCATGCTCATTCAGCCCGTGAACGCCTGGACCAGTCGCAGCAGGCGAGCAAAAAAACAGAATCAAAAGACAAGAAGCGAGCTCGCAGTTTGGCAGTCGAGCAGGAAAACCTGTCGACACATGCAAGCGATGCTTCGAACCCAATTCCATCGCACCCGGCTGTGTTTCGGATCGAAGCAAGCCTGTATTGTTCAATAACCTCAAGTCCAGCCCGCGCAAAAGAAAGATGCTTCACTTCCGGAACATGAACGGCGAGGTGGTCTGCAGCTGCGCCGCAGAGGCCTGCGCGCCCGCAGCCGACGACAGGAGCATGGCCGACGCCTTCCGCAAGTACCTGCGCAAACGAATCGGCGCCCCAAGGTACAGAACTCAGTTCATCGTCGACGGCAAGATCACAGACAACAATCAACCGTGGAGCACCTTGAGCGCTTGCACAACAACCCTCGCCAACCTCGACATCCAGATGGTGGTGCCAAGCTGCGTAGCGGAAGGCCACAAGGAGCTCAAACGCGCAATCAAGCAAGGCAACATGGAAATGGTCAAAAGCGCGATGGAAAGCTTCGCAGACCCCAACATGAGCATAGACATTGTCGAAAGCATGGGTCCCGACGACATGAACATCATGAACATTGACACCCAAGAGATTGACCTCCAACCCGTGCAGCCCCTTCAGCTCGCCGTCTGCCTGAGAGAATACTCGATCACAAAGGTGCTGCTGAAAGCTGCAGCGAACGTCAACAACACAAACAGCAGTCCGCCGACCTTGAACATCGCCTGCTACAACCACGACCTCAGGATGATGCAGCTGCTGCTCATGCGCACAGCGGACCCGAACCACAGAAACAAGCTGGGCTACACCACCTTGCACGCCTGCGTCTTGCGCGGCGCAGCCTCCGCAACAGCCCTCCTTCTTCGGTTTCGCGCAGACATGGCCGCCGAATGTTGCTGCGACGGACTGACCCCTCTGGGGGTGGCCATTCAATGGAGCATCTCCAGCGCAGCAAAGTTGCTGCTGGCACATCGAGCCATCGTGCACGAAGCCCGAGCATCCCACAGCGCTCTGCACGTTGCCGCCGAGCAAGGCAACACAACATTCATGCGAATGCTGGTAGAAGCCACAGCAGACCCGAATGCCACCAATCGTCATGGGGAGACGCCGGCGGACGTCCTGCCCAAGCGCTCCACCTTTCGTGAACGCCATGTCTGCAGACGACTACTGAGCGAGCAGCTGTAGTGCTCAGCGCTCAAGCAGCCGTGATAAGAACAGAAAATCATCAAATCTCCTGCCAAGACGAAGCCAGGAGAGCAACAGAAATGACTGGCACCGATACGACAGCATGCCATGAGGGAAGAAAGAGAAAACAAAATCAGACCGGTTAGCTATGCCAGACTTGGTGCGCTGAGCAATCAGCTCTCGTGCTGGAAGCATCAAAGCAGGGTTTTGCCGCTGCACTGCGCATCAAATAAGCATCATCAAGCAATGGTCTTTTTCTGCCACCAAGGTCTCGCAAGCTACTAGACCAAGAAGGACCAGTGATCTCCATCAGAAGACAGTTGCCAACAACGCGCAGAACAAAAAGACAACTTGCGTCCTAACTCTTGCCAACAAGCTTGACATATCCTTGCAAACACATTCGCGCGCATGAATCTTATACATGTCGAGCACTGGCACCGCAGCCAAGACTCCAGTCAGTCAATTGTTCAACAGTTTGCAGCAAGTGTAGCTCGCGCCAACATCCGCACCATGGCGCCCTGCTGCAGTCGATGTGGAAACATACGCCTAGGTCGCGGAAGAGGCGAACAGTCTCGTCAAAGCATTTTTGCACGATTATTCTGTCCTGCAATGTGCTCAGGCTACTGCAGCAACCTGCAATGCCGGCAAGAAGAACAGCAACAAAAGAAGAGGGACGCAAAGACTGCAAAGAGCAGAAAACGGACTATGAGGCAAAAGGAAGGAGGCGGCGCTCGCGGACCCTTACCAGGCGCAGGAGGTCGGCCAGAAGAAGAGGACAATCGCAGAGCACAGCGACAGCAGCTACAGACAATGAGACGAGAAGAAGGCGGCAGCGCTCGCGGACCCTTACCAGGCGCAGGAGGTCGGCCAGAAGAAGAGGACAATCGCAGAGCACGGCGACAGCAGCTACAGACAATGAGACAAGAAGAAGGCGGCAGTGCTCGCGGACCCCTACCAGGCGCAGGTGGTCGGCCAGAAGAAGAGGATAATCGCAAAGCACAGCGACAGCAGCTACAGACAATGAGACAAGAAGAAGGCGGCGGTCCTCGCGGACCCCTACCGGGCACAGGAGGTCGGCCATACATTCCAGAGGATCACAAACATGGTCCACCGTACCGCAACGAGGAGCTGCTCAGCGATGAAGAAACGCAAAGAAAGTACAAAGACTTCGTGCGAAGCTGGGCCCGTTTTGGTCTCTCTAGAATTTGCAAAACCTGCGGATCCATGACTCCGGCGAGACACTGCCGACCAACAGGTCCCGCACAAACCCCAAGTTGTCGAAACTGCCGAGAAAACAAGACAAGGTTCAGGCTACCAGCCTTGCTGCCTGTGCCGCCGCCGCTGCAGCAGCTAAAGCCCATCGAACAGCACCTGCTGGCCATGGCTCGCATATCACAAGTGGTGCTAGACAAGCTCCCTTCAGGAGGACCAAGCGCCCAGTGGGGCAGAATGTACGCCGTGCTCATGGAGGATCCGTGCATTTGCGACGTCCTGACTGGCGCAGTCCTGCAAGAAGACGGCACGGTTCAGGTGCAAGGCGTTGACGGCCTGACAGAATCTCCGGCCAGACTAGAGAACCTGCACAATGCCCTCAACGAACTCCGGACGCTGCACAAGCTGTACAGGAACAGTCCCGCCGTCCACGAGGCCATCGAAAAGATGAGCCACATCATGAAGCACAAGAAGACACCCTCCGCGAAAACCGAAGCCAACCAAGACAGGAATGAAGCCAAGCAGGCAGAAGCAGACGAGGAAGAGGGCCAGCAGTTCACCTACCTGGTTCCGAAAGATTTCAAGGTCCCCAGAGCAGACACGACCGAACTGCGTCAAACCAGAAGCAGCGCAGCCTTGATAGACGACATCGACGTGAAGTTCTTCCCGCACCTATTTCCTGAAGGAACTGACGGTTGGAAGCAAGAGTACCAAAGCTTTGCCCAATATGCCAGGAAACGCCTGCTGTCACAGGACCAACGCTTCGAGACCTCCGCCTCCTACATCATGTGGCTCCTCGAGACACAGATGAAGAAGCGGCTGTCCGGCAACGTGAACGTGCGGGTCGGCATGCAGCAAAAGCCAGGAGGATGTCACGGCTACCAAGATGGAAGCCGACGCGTCTACACTGCACTGCGGGACATTCCCGGCACACAGCCATACCTGTACGCAAAGAAGGGCATCGCGCTGAACATGTACGAGCAGCTCGGGCAGCCACAGTTCTTTCTAACACTGACCTGCCACGCCCAGCAGCCGAGCATCCTGCTAGCAGCCATTTCGGCGCGCTTGTTGCGCCTGAATCCAAACCTGACACCTGCGGAGCTGCTCGGAAAAATTGCATACAAGATATTATATGGTTGGTTCACAGTGCATTATAAAGAAAGGTAGTGAAATAGCGATGCTTGCGACCCAATCCTTCGCGCAACGACGTGAGGCTGGAACATGAGGCAGCCCAACTTCTTCGCAGCTATCAAAAGCCCGACTTCAAATGGGACGGCTTGTCTGCCAATCAGCTATGCAACCAGCAACCAGCCGTCGTGGCTCGACAATTCATGCATCAGCTACGGCAATTCCTGCGGTGGATGGCACCACACATCAACGTGGACAAGAAGATCGATGCCGATGCCGACCCGGAAGACCAACACTACCAGGAAGACGAGGAAGACACGATCAGCGTAGCAGCACCAGCACCAGACATTTCAGGCCAACACCACGCCATGCACAAAGAGAAACCACCATTCCACGTAACCGAGTACATCGTGCGCATAGAATGGCAGAAGCGAGGCTATCCACACGCCCACATTCTGCTGTGGATGAAGCCAGTGTCGCCGACGGAGACACCAGACCCCCTAGAAGCAGAGGACGTGGACTGGTCAGACGAGGAAGCCTGCCTTCGATTCGTGCCGAAAACCGCCGAAGAGATCAGCGACAAATTCATATGCACGAAGTCGCCAGCAAGCTGGCGAGAATCCACCAAAACAGACGCGATTATCAAAGAAGTAAACGCCAAGCTGGCTGAGATGATGATACATCACTGCAGCGCCTACTGCGGCAAATTCGCACTGGGAGCCTGTCGCTTCGGATTTCCTCGCGGCGAAGCCGATCGTTCACGCAGAAGAGATGCGCAGGAAATGTTCTTCAGTCGCTGGAAGAGCAGCTTGACAGCAAGGAGACAAAAGCGAGATAGCATGATGGGACAGTACAACGCCACCATGCTACGAATGTGGAGAGCAAGCATGGACTTACAGGTAATATGCGAGCTGACGAGCGCCAGCCGCTACATACTGGGCTACACGTTCAAGTCCGAGGAAGACTTCATCGCAGCCCGTCGCATGCAAGCAGTCATCGAGAAGCTGGTCACCGACAACAGCAACGAAGCTCTCAACGCGCAGGAAGTCTACCGAGCCGCGCATGCAGCCCTGCAAGGCAGAACAACCTCCACCTTCGAAGCATGCCACTTGCTGCTGGGATTTCCAGTGGTCGAATTCTCCAGAGACAGCGTATGGATTCAAGCAGGCCCGCCAGAAACCTGGACACTATGGGTACCGCAACGAGAAGAAGCCGAAGCCATAAAGCAGCCAGACGCATACTTCAAAAGCAGACAAGGACAAGAATGGACCATGCCTGTCGCGCAACGATGCTACCAGCACTTACAAAAGGCCTTTGCAGAGCAGGAGACCGACGTACCAGTCGAAGGTGCCTCGCCAGTGAAGCGTCAGTGGAAGGACATCACCTTCTTCGACTTCTGCGCAGGCTTCAGATTCATCGGCAAAGAATTCCCAGTTCCTCGAAAACGCCCAGCCATCGTGGGATATCGAAATTTCAGCCCCGACCTCGAGCCGGAGGCCTTCTACTACTCCAAGCTGCTGTTGCACTTGACATGGACAGCGCCCGGGGAATGGTTACTGCCAGAAGACAAAGAAAGCCATGCCGCAGCTTTCCAGCGAATAGCCCGCGACAACAAGCAGCATCCCACATTCTTGCAATCCATCTGCTTACCTGCCCTGGATGGCACGGTCGCAGCAGCCCGCAAACTCCAAGCAGTTCAAGCTGTCATGTACATGAAAGCCAAAATGGCGCCCGCGGACCTGCGAGACGGTTGGTCGCACAGCCGTGCTGACGAGCAAAACTATCAAGACGCCCTCAAGATCATGGAGGCGCTTAGAGAGAGGCGCGGAGGGACCATCGACTTTCTGGCTCCCAACTTCGTGCCAACCGGGCCCGCAAGCAGCGCTTTCACACCAGTAGAAGGCGGAGAAGAAGCTTTCGGTTTGCTCACGACCAAGGATCCAGGCCCAGAAACAGAACGACAGCGGCAGGCCATGGAGTACATCATTCGCACCGTGACGGACAACCCGAACACCAAAGCCGGCCACAGCACCCGACGCCTACGCCTCCTTCTGCACGGACCTGGCGGGTGCGGCAAATCAGTAGTGGTGCGCGCTGCCGCCCACATGCTTCGCCAGAGCGGCAAGGGCATCATCATAGCGGCACCCACAGGCGTAGCAGCCTGCAATGTCAACGGCGTGACCCTGCACCAATGCCTTGCCCTGCCGGTAGTGAACCGAAGCCACGGGAAAGCCTGCGACGCTCCGTTGCCGAGAGGCGCCCACCTCGCAGCCCTGCAAGAGCTCTGGGCACAGGTATCCGTGCTCATAGTGGATGAGATCAGTTTCATCTCCGCCTTCATGTTTGACCGCATAGACCAGCACCTGCGCATGGCCCGAAACATTCCCGACATCCCCTTCGGGGGACTGCACGTAGTCTTCTCGGGCGACCTCTACCAGCTCCCGCCTCCAGGAGGCCACCCCTGCTTTTGCAGTTCTTTGTGGTGCTTCTTCGAGCTGTGCGAACTGGAAGGAAATCAGCGCGCCGCGCAGGATCCAGAATGGGCCGCGCTGCTTGCGCGAGTGCGCGTCGGCACTTGGACAGAGGACGACATTCGCATGCTGAGAAGCCTCGTCATCAAGAAGAACGGCAAGCAGCAGCCTGCAACAGAAGCCGTGCACCTCTACGCCACCCGCAAAGCCGTCGCAGAAGACAACCAGCAATACCTGGACAAACACCTAGCCAGCACAGGCAGCCAACTCTACGAGTGCCCAGCCGTGGACATCAGCGTGAAAACGGGCGCACCACTGCCGGCAGAACTCGCATGGGCCGAACCAGAGAACACGGGAGGACTCGAAGCCTTGCTGAGAATTGCAGTAGGAGTTCGGGTCATGCTCCGATTCAACATAGACGTTCGCGACAAGCTCGTCAACGGCGCCTGCGGAACAGTCACCCACATCGACGCCGAGGACACCGGAGAAGTGACAAAAATCTGGGTCAACTTCGAAGGACAAGCCGGAGCTCTCTGGTGCGAAGCAAAAGAAATGCAATCGGTAGCAATAACAAGGCGAACAGCCACGTTCCAAGACCAAACTGATAGCCGAGCGGAACGCAAACAGTTTCCACTCGTGCTTGCCAAGGCAACCACCATACACAAAAGCCAAGCAGCTACAGCCCATCAAGGAGCTCACTCTGCCCTGGACAGCACAGTCACTCAAGAAGGACAGGCGTACGTCGCTCTGTCCCGCTGTCCCACCCGCCAACATTGCACACTAAGGAATTTCAACCCAGCATGCCTACGATTCAACGCGCATGCAGAATGGGCACTCACGAAGCTCAGAGAACAGCAAGCAGAGAAGTCAGGCAGCGAGCTCTGGTGCAACCTCATGAAGCCTCCGCACAACAAAGAATTCTACGCACAACGGCTGGCGAAGCTGCCCCACCCAGACCCCCACAACAACAGCAGCAACCCAGACGAGGAACGACCTTGGCACTGCCCACGATGCGGCGAAGCCACGGCCCATACCAAACCAGCCATGAAAGCACACAAGCGCATTTGCCCGGCAGCACCACCCAAACCAGCCCGAGCCAAAGCCAAAGCGAAGGCCAAAGCCAAAGCCAAAGCGAAAGCCAAAGCCACAAACAGGAAGGACGGCACATGCGCAACGACGCCGCGGGAAACAACATCCAGCAAACGCAATGCGGCGCGTTGGCAAAACAGCAAAACACAGGAGAATAAGCACAAGCGAGACACACCAGACAGCCCAGCCGAGAGCCCTCCCACCAAGAAAAGTACAAGCAACCAAACAAATGCCCGGTCATCAGAACAAAACAACATCTTCTTCGAAGAACAAGAAGGGGCCCAATGCGGCAAGCACGCGCTCAACAATGCACTCGGACACCATTACTTCGACACAAAGGACATGCAGCAAGCAGCCGAAACGTTCATGTGGGAGAACCCAGAACTTGGTGACGATCTGGACAGACACATCTCGCCGGACGGGGACTATTCCATCGAAACGATGATGATGGCATTGCGAACCATGGCAATGAAGAAATTCGGGCGGCTTTGCTGGCAGATGAGAGACACACGTGCCACCAGCAGCAGAGACCTGGAAGGTTGTGTCGGAGCAGTGCAGAACCACCACAACCAGCACTGGGTCGCTTTGAGGAGTGCCGGCGAAACATTCTTGTACGTGGACTCCTTGAACCGAGCAAAGCAGGCAACAAACCTCACGAAAGAAGAGCTGGAAGCCACGCTGCGCGCCCATCCAACTTATGTGATTCACGAGATTTGACAAGCCGCTCTTCAACAACCACCTCTATGCAACTCGGCATGAGAGAATCCGGCAGCATTTCAACTCGTGCAACTTCCCGAAGAATCGCCATAGCGCCGCTCTGCCGAAGGCCTGCGACAGCCCAACTGAGTGCTTGAATGCCATGCCAGTTTCACTCTGTAGGACGATGAAGAAACCATAGCGCAACAATCAAGAGTCGAAAAGCGGGGGCCAAGGCAAGCTCGTGTTGATCATGATTCGATGCCGCTGCCTGAAGCCAGAATATCAGAGAGGCATCTGCGCAGTATGAATGATACGTGCATCGTTTCATACCGAGAGCACCTCTTGGATCAAGATATATTTCAAATCTACTGCCTTGTCGTAGCGCCCCAGAGCATAGCAGCCATGCCACTCATCAAAGAAGGCGTGCCATCCCCAGCAACTAAGCTACGCAAGCTAGGGACCAAGGAGCAGAACCAGGTTAACCTGAAGTTGCTGGGAGCGGACATCGTGCTGCCCAAACAACTTGAAGATCACGAACAACCATCCTTTCCAAAACGTCCTCGGGAACTACCAGCCACAATTCCCGACGACTTCGTGAAGGACACCCTGGCAGAACTAAATGCACACCCGCGAGACAGAAGTATCAGCTTCCAAGCAGACGATCACGTATACTTCTGGAAAGGAAAGCGTGTGTCGAGATCAGTCACACAGTTTATAAAGGAATTCACCGAACCGTTCTGCGAAGAGCAGGTCATCAATTCAATGCGACAGAGCCGCAACTGGCCACGTCCCGGTTACCTGAAGACTTCGCTTTCAGAAAACCAAAAGAATGAGTTGCAGAAGCTACCTGGCAGCGAAGAACTTCTTGCGGAGCTCAAGCGACAAGAGCGAGACGAACTCAAAGTCTGCCGTCTTGCCTTCAAGCTACGTGCAAACCAAGCGAGCAGTCCAAATCAAGATGCCGATGTAGCAGATGCTCTGACAGAACTCGGTCTTTCTCGGGAAGAAATCATGCGCAAGTGGGAGAAGGCACGCCAGGATGGAGCAAGAGAAGGCACATGGATGCACGCACAATTCCAGTGCCTGCTCAATGGTGGCTCGGTTCCCGACAAAACCACCGAAGTGTTTCTCCTGTCACAATTTCTACAGTCGCAATCCAACACGAAGGCTTTCCGAACAGAGTGGCAAGTGTACGCAGACAACGAAGACCTGGCTGGCAGCATCGACTACGTGGCGAAGAGACCAGACAACAGCGTAATCATAGTGGACTGGAAGCGCACAAGCCCATCTCGGCTCCAACGCAAGGCGTGCAACAAGTTCATGCGGACGCCACTAAGCCACGTCCCTGACTGCACACTGTGGCACTACCGCCTCCAACTCAATGTGTACAAGTTCATACTGGAAAAGTACTACGGAGAAGCTGTTTCCGCCATGTACATAGTGGGAACCAATCCCGAATACGAAGACCAACCGTTCATAGACAACGTTCCCACAATGGACGTCGAGACAAAGAATCTCCTAGCAAACGCGCGGTGAGGAGCAACAAAAAGCAAAACCTGCATGTGTTCTGCTGACATCAATCCGGGTTCCAGCGCACTGTCGTGGATTGAAAACCACAAGTCCAGATTGGCTCCAACGTCAGACATACAACAAGTGCATGCGGACGCCACTGAGCCATGCCCCGACTGCACCCTGCGGCACTACCGCTTCCAGCTCAACGTGTACAAGTTCAACCTCAATAACGTTTCCTAACCCTAAACTGGCTCCCAGAGCCCAAAATTGGCTCCAAAGCCCAAAATTTTAATTAATTAGCCCAAAATTGGCCCCCAAAGCCTACAACTCCACCCCCCCCCTCTCCCCCCTCCCAAAAATGAAAAGCATAGTTCCAAAAAACAAAACTTTCGGTCAAAACTTTCGGTCAAAACTTTCGGTCAAAACTTTTTGGGACCCAAACCCTATACAATTTCTATAAACCCTAAACCCTAAACCCTAAACCCTAAACCCTAAACCCTAAACCCTAAACCCTAAACCCTAAACCCTAAACCCTAAACCCTAAACCCTAAACCCTAAACCTAACCCTAAACCCTAAACCCTAAACCCTAAACCCTAAACCCTAAACCCTAAACCCTAAACCCTAAACCCTAAACCCTA